GTTGTTTTTGCATCTAATTTTAAACATGTAGAAAAAACTTATCTCCAGATGCTGTAAATTTCCAAACCATTTGTCAGTTCGTCCTGATAATGATTGCTCTTCATGTACAAACAGGTTTAGTAGGTGTGTTGTTATTAATTAATGATTGATGGTAGTGGAATGTATTATGCTTGTTCATGCATTGTTCATGCAAGTGCTACTTACTGATGCAAGAACATGGAACATGCGGACACACAGATGGGCCATAAATAGGGACGGGCATCATTTTGCACAATTATCAGTTCCTTTCTTATTACTGTGCAAGAAAAATAATAACTTACTGCAATAATAATTGAAAAAAAAATAGAAAGAAAAGAGGGATCATAGAGGCCATTACATCAGTGGCATTACATCAGGCCACTACTAAAACCTTTTTTTTTTTAACAAGTGGCTGAACTTAACTACCGACCACACTGCATCATGAGATTTGTAACTGTCATTTTCTCCCCTGTATTGCTTGTTGGGTTAATCCAGTTTCACTGTAAACATTTTATTTTAATTTTATAATCAGAGTCCAGAAATAAATGGTAATAAAAAACATAAAAAAGTCCCTTTTATTTTTTTTAAAGAGAGAGTACAGCAATGTCATCAAACAACATCAAGACACTGAATACTTTTGATGTAGAAATGATGTCTGTGTGGTATCACAGTGAACTAGTGGGTGTACCAATTCCTTAACAACAATATATTCTTATATTTAGTCTGACCCTCAGTGTTGACATGGCAGTCGACAATGAGGGAAAACTTACAGAGAATTTGACTCAATCGTCTCAGTAATTTAGTTTAACTCAGTGTTGCTGTGCATCTCCTGTTGTGTGAAGCTACATTAATGTAACAGTGCGCCACTGTGTAAAAAGAAATATCACCAATGTTGAAACACTGAAATGCCTCAGAGTAATGTAAACTCAGCACCATTTAATACAGAAACAAAGCACAAACAGGTACTTAAAGCCCTTGAACAAAACAAGTCTAATTCATGTATTATACTCACCTAAATACTTTCATGTGATTGTCAGCATGAAAGTCATTTTGTAAATTCTCTTACATCTATAAGCACTAGATGTTTATGAACACAACATGGTAAATATATGCATGCTAACATGCTGCAGATAGCAAAGGCAATGCTCTTCGGCACGGATACAAATTATTTTCCTTTAACTCTGAAGTTCTTCTAGCTTGCATTTAAATAGACTTACTTTCTTTTCACTTCTTTAAAGTGTAAAATGTGTCGACCAGACAATATCAAGCTCCCTGTGAGATGTGTGCTCAGTTCAGCTCTTTTCAGCTACAACAGTAAAACACAGTGACATAGTGATGATGTATACCAGTGAGCTTAAGTATGGTAGTGAATACAATCATTTGAGTTCCAGATGGTACAATCACATTAGCAGCACAGACTGGACTTTCAGTGGGGCAAGGTTTGTATTCAAAGACTAAAAAATCAAAGTTCACAGGTCGGGGGAAGTTGAGTGATCTGTTAACCCAGAGAGTGCTGCTTCTTCAAGCTCTCTGAGCGCCTCACTCTCTCCTCTGGGGTCTTTCTGTACCAGCTCCTGAGAAGAAAAAGCCACTGTCATACTTTGCTGACTTTAAAGTCATCTGTAAAAGCTGAAATCCAAACATTTCTGTACGCTGTTGCCTTTAGCAAGAGGCAAATAAAGTATTGGAATTACAGTTCAGAGACTTCAGAGCTTAGGTCCAAAGTATACTGGAGCACATGGATTTAAGGCAACACACTTTATTAGAAGACTACCGTCTTCTAAGTGTGTCTTCATCAGAGTCAGAAAAAGTGTAATGCTTGTTAATTAGGACACTAGCAACCCAAAAAGCATATCAGCATTTTCTGAGTAGTGGGGTGAGGTGGAGTGACGTATCTCCTAAGAGATGACATATGGCAGTTTAGGAAATCAAGATAAGGCACTTTGTGATTTTGGTGAAACAAGTCTCACCCCTGGCGGTTCAGCTGGCCTGGCACAGGAGAATTTTGGCCTTGGTTTGGCTTCAGGACTCTGTGAATGAAGAAAGGATGTATTTAGAGAACTAATATTCTGGGGACATTAAACAGGAAATTGTAGTTCAGTCTAGAGCACCTGTTAGTAGTGGGGCTCTTTGGCTTCTGCTGCTTCTTTCTAGCCATTGATGGGGATTCACCGACCCTGGAGGAGCACCAAACACATACAATAAAAACACTGCTGATCCCTGGAGCCCATCATCAAAAACATTAGCATCTAAAACCAGATCTCATCTACAATGTTAGGCTGTGTTCCTCTTTCCCATCTTACCTCTTTTTCCTGTCCAGAGACCTCTGTGTGGCAGCAGACAGAACCGCTCTCTCCTTGGGGCCCTTGGCTTTCTCCTTTTGAAACAGTCAGTAAGGATCATAGTTTATGACAGAAGCACTGACACTGACGGTATAAGACGAGGCACGTTGCCACCAAACAGTGTTTCTTTCCTGTAAGTCACTTTGTCCGTGTGGTAATCAAGGTGTAATATAAATACAGTTCATCATGATAAGCTTTTCAAGTACCACCAGCTATCAGCAGGTAGAACAATTATAATTCATCTTAGCAGATGTAGCTACAATAACAAGCCATGTCTTGATTTATACTTTGGTAAACATTACACAAATTGTCCAGACAAATGCTTCACTGCCCGCCAAGCACGAGTACAAACTCAAGTAGTTTTCAAGTTCATACTGAGAATGAAAAGATATCTGAACTTTTCCTTCACTTCTTCCTTTAAAAGAGGAGCAACACATGTCACGTTCTGCTGATCAAATATGGATGTGTGATTGATTGGTTGACAGGTTACCATGTCTCGCAGCTTCCTCTCTGCTCGGAGCTCCCTGTCCTGCTGCAGCAATGCTAATCGATCCCAGAGGGGCATTTCAAAGAAGATGTCATGGATGTCATAAAGGGCTGCACGTAACTGCGGGACAAAAGAGGCACACATAAACACAGAGTAAGATGGACCTCTGCTGTCTATAGACAGTAACTACACGTTCATACCTGGGCTCTAACTCTCTCCTGCAGGGAGCGATCTTGTGCAGAGCAGGGGCCTCTCTTCTGTGGACCTTCTGTCTGGAAGGAGCGGATGAACTCCTGTGTATCCTAAGCACACATATATACAGAACACATTCATAAACACAGTTTTTCCCAGTCACTAACATGATGATAGATTTATTGATTAACTCTTATTAAAATCACATTGGTGTTTTCAATTGGTTGTGCTCATTTGTATTTGTGTGTTATTTGTGTTAAACGTGTAATCGCACCAGGATGGTCTGTCGCAGGTGTTTGACCTTCTCTGTTTTCAGCAGTCTGCGAGTGAGGAAGCCACGAATGATGGCGCCAATTCGACAGAAGGCTCTCTGCTGCTCTGCTGTCATAACCTGGACAACAAGAAGATACGAGAAGATGGGAACGTGAAGATAGAAAACACAGAGAGGGTTTGAGAAATAAACGTCCATCTAATATGTGTTGCGACTTCGCATGTAAAAAGAAAAGCCTAAACTATGAACCCGCGCCTAACCCCTCACCTCCACCACCTTGCTCTCTCTCTCTCTCTCTCCCCGGATACACCCACACACAGACATACAGACACCCACATTCCCCTCGCCACATGCTTGTTTGTTGCTTTTAAGTTTAGTATGCCTGCAATTGTATAATAGATGTTTGTTGATTTATAATATTATTGATTTTTCATTAGTATTGTTATTGATAATAACTGTTCTTTATGGTCAGTGCTGATTCAAACCTTCACTGTTCACTCTGAATGTGGAATAGTACTTTTACATTTTTTAAGTGAACACCAATTTTAAGACTTAATCCACAATTTGGTTATTGGTCCCTGATCCCGGGGTGGTGCCCCCATTATTATAAATCATTGTTAATAATCCTATTGATATTAATAATTGTATTAATATCAATAATCAATTTGTATATTTGCCAATAACCAAACCCGCTCCAGCCAGATCCCAACATGTGTAACTTATGCAATCACACACACCCTGTTGTCTACTTGTGCATACCTACCAGACTTAGCCTCGCTCGAGGTTTGCTAACTGCCCATGTGGGTCCCCACAGATAAACGGGAGGCTGGACAGAGGGAGAGGACACACTGGAACTTACAGGACTGGGAAAACCTGGAAAAAGAAACATACTTTCAATTTAGGTGTTTGAACTTCTCTATTTTGAGCTGTCTGCGTGTATGGAAGAGTTGTCCGAATGGAAGTAATAATAATAAGAGTTAATAGACCACAACACTCTATTTGTCTTATGTCAACACTGTTTTACAAACTCCAACAGAGTAATAAGTGAGCATGGTGAAGTGGTACCTATACTGTGTATAGGTGATAGCTCAGATGGTGTGTGTTCAAGGCTTAGTCCTGGGCAGGAAGGGCTCACAACAGGACGGCTGTCACTCACGGACCTACAATTCCACCCACAAGCATCCCCACTCAAAGGCCGCACACACCCCTGCTCCTTCAGTCTTCTATCTGTGTCCTCGAGCTCCTGAACACATGCGTATACAGGAGACAAACACTTCAGTGCTTTAACCTTAAGCAAAAGAGAATAAAATTACACTTCAACATTGCAACTAAAAAACTAAATAATTGTTGCCAATCTGTAAAATAACTGATAAAGTACCGCACAAAAAAATACATTTTCGGTATCTACTTCTATTTAGAATAGATAATATGTGATTCCATGTGCTGACCAGACAGAGGTGCTGTTGATCTTTCTCCTGCTCAGCCAGGAGGAGAGACATCTGCAAGGAATGCTCCTCCTCCAGACACCTTTGCATGTCCTCCAGAGCCAGCGCTCGCCTCTGGGTCTCCTCTTTTTTACCTTAAAAGTGCAATGGGAGAAACTGTGATCTCAGTGGTAATGACATATTTTCACTCTGTAGAGTTTAGTAAATACAGTGTGCAATACAGGAACTGTTCAAGAGAGACTCGCCTGTCTTGTTGGCTTGTGCCTCAGCTGCATTTCTGAGGACAGTTGGTGTGGTCCTTCCATTGTTTGTCCCCTGACGGTCATCAGGCTCCATTCTGAGTGTGACCTGAGCCAAGTCAGAAGTCATGCAGGGCCTCAGCAGAGATGGTGAGGGATTATCTGCCTCACACGACTGGTTTAAGGGGGCTGCAGGGGTGCGCCAACTTGGAGCCATCCGTGTAACTCCTGCCATGAAGCGAGGAACCCTTTCCTGGCTGCGGTCTATGTGCTCAACTCCAGAGTGGCAGCTATGCAGTTGGCTGTCCAAAGTGTGGCAGCGCCGGCGAAATCCTGCAGCCAGATGGTCAAGGTGTCCCTTTGGGCTAAACCCTGAGGCACTAATGGGACTACAGGGCTCCTGCAATGGACTGGTACCACAGTGGCTGGATCGAC